TCATGAAACGTGATCATTACTACTCGAAATATCAAAAGCTGAAAATTAATTAATTATGCAAATTAGGTAAATAATATGTACTGATATTACCCTAAAAACTATCAGGTCTGTGCAGTGTCATATGACACCTATGTACCAAGTTTTATTGAAATGTTATGATTAGTACTTGAGATATCAGTGGAAAAACCGAAAATTGATTAATCATTATGTAAATTAGGTAATTAATAATATTAACAGATTTTTACCCAAAACTAATCAAATCTGCGCATTAGTTCAGAGCATCCATGTGCTAAGTTTCATTGAAATCCAATGAGTGGTTCTTCAAAAATCAGTGGAACAGTCATAGAACAGCTTAAAATCAGTTAATTATCATGCAAATTAGGTAATTAATATTCATAAATTTTTACCAAAACCTAATCAACTCTGCGCATTATTCCAGAGTATCTATTTACCAAGTTTCACCAAAATTTGATTAATGGTTCTTGAGATAACAGTGGAACAAAAAAAGTGACATACATACATACATACATACATACATACATACATACATACATACAGACATACAGACATACAGACAGGGTAACTGCAAAGACTCCCTTTTGTGCTTCGCACACGGGAGTCAACAAACTTTGACCCAGTTATAGGTAAACAAAAAAAGTCTGGTTTGTATTGTATTTTGGTAATGCTACATTTACCGGTACAAATAGTGAATTCAACATTTATTGTTATCCACTGTAAACATGCTGCTCTATTGACACCCCCTCCCCACTCTGCTGCATGCACAAGACAGGATGACCAGCAACAGAAAGACACTACAGTATATGCACATATAACCACGACAACAATTACAAAAACAAATTTAAATATTTAATATCAGATTGTCACATACACGATGTGCTGATCTTCACAGTGAAACATAATACAGAACAAAAACACATAGTGCAGCACATTGGACATGTACCTACAATGTACATGTAGGCGACACCAAAAGGTTGGCTGGAGGTCCAAGGTTGCTACATACATTTTTGTAGTTCAATAACTACAAAATATGAGAAAAATGATTCATTTTAGCAAGTGTATAAATGATTCTATTGCAGTATTCACAAAAATCACTATCGCCACATAAAATCGCAATTGCCATACAGAATCGTCATCGTCAAACAGAATACGACTGGGTGCGTGCATGCACAAGAAAAAAGTTAAATGCAAAATTTGCATGCAAAATGCACACAGTGATTTATTTTTATTAAATGTAATATCAGAAATAGTTCCACATTTAAAGTCCATGGTTTTAACTTTAAGACAAATACTTTAAGTGGAAAATTAATAATCATAAATTTCTCCTATCAGACGCATGTTTTACCACAAAAACCGCATTCTCACAATTCAAGGTCATTTTTTGGGCACACCTTAAATTTCGATTACTGGTACTGTAAATCATTGGGTAAATAGGAACAAGGTAGTAAATACATTGTGAAAACAGGGTCAACAAACCAATTAAATCTTGTTTTGATACAGCAAAGTTTGGTTGCTGTGGTAGCAGTCAACAAATACAATGTTTCTGAAAATAAACTTGCATACATAAATTACACATTTAATATACACAAATGTACAATCCATATTTGTTTTAATAGCCTGTAATCCAACCACTCAGAGTACACTCAACTACGAAGTCAGCATATAATTTGTGTCATCACTGTTTGGCTGTCACCATGACATTACAAGGTAAACTTGCATGCACAGACTTACCCATATGTAATGCCAAACACCCCCTCCCTGACAACGCGAATATAGACGTCTAGTCTACCATGTCAAGTTTGATGCGGGTCTTACATGATTTCAAAGGTTATATTATACTAGTACCGTGATTTGTACCATAATTTCAAAGGTTATACACCGTGATTTGTACCATGTTCCATGATTTCAAAGGTTATACACAGTGATTTGTACCATGTTCCATGATTTCAAAGGTTATATACCGTGATTTGTACCATGTTCCATGATTTCAAAGGTTATATACCGTGATTTGTACCATAATTTCAAAGGTTATACACCGTGATTTGTACCATGTTCCATGATTTCAAAGGTTATACAGTGATTTGTACCATGTTCCATGATTTCAAAGGTTATATACCGTGATTTGTACCATGTTCCATGATTTCAAAGGTTATACACTGTGATTTGTACCATGTACTATAATTTCAAAGGTTATACACCTTGATTTGTACCATGTTCCATGATTTCAAAGGTTATACACCGTGATTTGTACCATGTTCCATGATTTCAAAGGTTATACACCGTGATTTGTACCATGTTCCATGATTTCAAAGGTTATATACCGTGATTTGTACCATGTTCCATGATTTCAAAGGTTATACACTGTGATTTGTACCATGTACTATAATTTCAAAGGTTATACACCTTGATTTGTACCATGTTCCATAATTTCAAAAATTATACACATACAACCTGGTTAAGGTGTGGTATGAAAGATCGAATTATCAACAACTGTGATATATGACACAAATTTACTACAAATAAGAATATGTGTATTCACAGCGACAATTTGATTGGCCAAAAATCCCTAATTTGCAACAGCAATGATACATGGTCCTTTCATTGTTAAGCACATAAACCATTCGCGATTCACGCTTGTGGTTTACATTGCTGTAACATCATGATTTAACATATACAACCTGGGTAAATTACATTGTTTCCACTAAATTCTAACATGCAACTGCAAGAAACATTTTTTATATTATGAGAACAGATTTAATAAATAATATAAATTTATTCAATAAATAATATAACCAATACAATAACAAATATATCCTATTTAATAGATAATATGAACCTATTAAACAACTAATATTTAACCTATTTAATAAATAATATAAGCTATTTAATAAATAATATAAGCTATTTAATAACAAATATAAACCTATTTAATAAACACATAAAACTATGAATTAACTAATCGAATGTAATTATTAATAAACAAACTATTTAATGGACAATATGATCCATTTTTAATAAATAAAATAAAAGTTTATTTTAAACTTTCAATGCTTTGAGTACTCACATATGTCACATTGTTCTTCTCATATTTGTATCCCATTTCACGTATAATTGTCTCTTCATCCATGTTAAAACTGACGCAGCATTAGTGGAAAAAGGTTTCCTCGGTTAGAATATTAGCTTTATATTTATTTTAACATTTATAATATTACATTCATTTATGAGAAATTAAAAATTAAAAAACTGGAAAAAAACAAGTTTGGTTGCCAAGGGTTGTTTAAATGTTTTTCATAACTGATTCAATCGGTGATTTTCCATTCACAGCGACATCTTGCGTATTACGTGAAGACAAGGACCTGAATGTCTGTCGCAGAAATACATGTAGAACGATTTGATTTTGAATTTTTTTTTTATAGGGAAATGTCAAAATGCTGATCTTTGAGAGGGAAATATTGCATTACTTCATCAAAATTGACAATCATCAAATGTATATAGTACATCATTAAATGTTAAAGCGTTGATAAACATTGATTTACCCACAAGCTATGAGTATGAGGTTTTACCATGGCGCGGCTTGCACTAATTACCACCGGTGACTCCTTCGATGCCTTTCAACCACCTAAAATACCTAATTAAAGTTTCAGTTTGTAAACGTTGATCTGTACAACAGTCAAAGTCGCCATCTTTGTTTATACGAGACCCATATATCTCGCGCATGCGTGGCGCGATGACTACCGCCCTTTAAAATACCCCACAATACACTTTTGTGTTTGTTGAATCTCATGCGATGTTTTTTTTTCACTGCAAGACTATGTCATTTGTTTGTCCCGTTTTTACATTTGATTTCACACATAACATAGGATCTTGTGGTGAACCATAAATGGCTATTATTATTGCTAATGTATCTGTTTATTGATGATTATTACTAATACTTCAATTGAATTACAGTATTTTTATGAATAAATCTTTTGTTTGATATCCTTCAAAACTTCTGTTTGCTGGTCCCCGTTTGAGTTTTGTAATGCACTAAAAATATTACCTGAATGTGATGGGAGCAGTTATTGTTCTACTTTGACAACTCAAAAGAACACATAGAAACCAACACAGGCATGGTTGTTATGTAAACAAACATAGCTCTCCTGTATGCAACAACCAAATATAATACCGTACTTCTATACATTATTCCATGAATGAAGATTACATATTAACCTCTCATTGTAAAGTTTATAATTACTGTAATACATATGCAGACGATTTATTAAGTTGAATTCTCTTTAATTCTTCATAAAAGCTTCTTTTTTCCCTCTTAAAGCACTTATAATAGGCATGTTGGAACAAGGCCGACTATAAGAAAAGACCGTTAGTTGATGTAAGTGGGACTAATTTTTTGGGTCAAATTTAGTATCAAACTGGATTTTGTGAAATCATTTTGACATTTCTTACTGTGAGTGCATTTAAATTCAGCAATGTTTTAAAAATGTAGTGTGCATTTAATAAATTTAGTGCATTTCATTTGTCAGCGAAAATATTGAAATGCTTTGATCAGATTGAAACTAGAGATCTTTAAGCAGTTTTTTGATGTACTTTAATAGAAACAAACAGGATATAGAATGAAATAAAATCTGATTCCTGATGCCTTTGACACACAGGTGGAAGCCCCCCCCCCCCCCCCACAATACTCCAAACCTATTACCAAAAGTAAACAGACTATCATAAAGCAAGTACCCGGTACCGTGACATTATGTGATGTCGCGGAATTCATATTTCTGTTTGAACTTCATAAGTGTGTTACCGTAATGGAACATGTTCTGACTAATAGCATTACAGAATGCCATGAATGCTTGTCAGTAACCATGGAAAAGTTTGTAGACATGTGGTAAAAAAAAAAAAGATACGTTTAATATGATTGACAAAATTTTGAAATTATAACTTAGTTACATTTTTTTATGAAATGAAATGTATCGTTTGTTTTATCGACTAACACGTCATATTAACAAATACGAGGCAATGATGTATTAAATCAACGCTATCAATGATCATAGAAGACAACATGTAATAAGAGTTGAATAAACAAACATTTTGAATCAAAGTTAACATTAAAGTTTTTAGAAAATATCTCTATCATGATAATAAAATGTCACGATGTAATGTGTCCAAATATTACTCGCATAGGTAAACAACTGAGAACAAAAAGTCAATATATTTCATAATGTTCAACCAATTAACGGCAATTAATCCAAGACATTGGCAGGCAATATCCGATAAACAATTTCAGGGTATAATCACAAGTCCTTGAGACGATCTTGTATAAAATGTCTAGCCGCAATGGCAGCCCGTCGTTTTGGGCGAGAATGTCTAGCATCAGTATCACTTTGTTGCCTTGTGTCATCTCTATTTTCACCTCCATTCAAATTTTATTAGAAATTACGTACATTTTCACAAAACGGAAAGAAGAAAAATACTGAAAAGAAAACAAGTAGTAAGCTTAATTTTCTCTTGTCTTAAGAAATTGAATGAAAAAAATGAAAGACAACAAATCAAATATTAGTGCAATAACCAGGATTTAAACCTGTAGTTTGCATAAACAATTGTTGTGATTAGGATCTTAAACAGTAATTTGCATAATACTTTGTTAAATATTTTCAACATGATTTAACTGTCCAAAATAAATCAATTTAATTTTGACTATTATCCTTCAAAATTCAAACATAAAAGAAAAAAAAGGTCACATCACAATCCACAAGTCAAACAAATAACTGGACCATTGACTGCATGAAAATTAGTGGCAAAGTTCAACAACTACCAGGGTATATAAAATAATGATATTTATAGCATAATAAATTGGAAATCATCGATACTTACATTATGGTCTTATTGAGGTGGCGGGGGATAACGTCATTATCTATTGATTTATTTATTTTTTTAATTTTGTTACTCGGGAGGTTAAACCACATTCATGACTTAAAAGTATACAGATTTATTTATCCTAGTTTGCTGTATGCATTACTGCATCAAGCAACAGCATTAATCAATTTCAGCAAAATTTCATTTCATGAACTCCTAAACTTTAAAAGAAACACATTTGGAAATCCATCGAGCAAGTGGTTTTATAATGTTATATTCCTACACATGACAGTAAATTATTACAAATAATTCATAAAATACAAATAAAGCATGGTTGTAGAAAGGAACGAGGACAAGGAGTGAAAGTTCAGATCTTTCCAATTTCTACATTTTCTGGATAAATGTATATTAATTTGTAGTATTGTTTTGCAGACAGAGATAGTGTTCAACATTTTAACCTCATTCTATTGCATACCCAGTCAATTAAAGTAGCACTCTATCATGTCTATAATTGTTTATTCATAGATCATAGATTTCCTCACAATCATTTTAGACGATTCAATAACTTATTGAAGTTTCTATTATATTTCAATAACATACAGGTATTGGTCATCATCAATAGATCCCACTAAAAAATAGAACTGACAGCATAGAACGTTGTTCAGCGATTACAATGGGACAGCAGTACATGTATGTGCAGATGATACAAATCTTTTCAACAACATATGCGTATTTCGTTGTGACTTTTTAGAGATTTGTTACCAGTGCTACCCAAGCTCACTACCTTAAACAAAATCAGGAATACATTTCAAAATGTCTTCATTTTCAATGCCACAGAAGTTACAGAGATGCCTGTCACTCTTCTAGTTTTGTGAATCAAACAAAACCTCATGCATATTAATTATGTGATAATGAGGTACTTCATCTTAATGCTATTGAGCAGGAAAACTCATTGCCTCCATATATTATTATATTACACCAAATTCAAGTAAGACGTATTTAGAATTGTAAACATACACTTAGCAGGTGCCTCCTTCCATTCGTGAAGTGCTCATACATAAATGAGAACACATTAGAGCAGCCTATGCCACTGCATGCATTCATACACTGTATAACTGTATATATTTACATTTGACTTAATAAATAGTTTATAAAATACATGTCTTACCTGGGTAAATTACCAACAAAAATCAAAGACTGTCTAATTTGTGGACTATTTATCAGTGAATTGTTTGTAATTTGCCCTGTTTTGTAACAAAAAAAGGCATATTGACAATAAATAAAAAAAAAAAATCCACTTGTTGTTTGTGATTTCAAGAAACTTTGCAAAGTTCAACTTAGTTTTTCAGTGAGAATGTATTTGTTATGGTCAATGATAAGATGACATTCATCTTCAATTGTTGTTTTCTTCCAAGGACCAACAAGTTTCAACCAGTCCGTTGATAATTACTGCAGTTTTCTAGTACAATGTACTAGTAATGTTAAAAAACAACTGTACGATGCGTCGATCTGCTGTCAACACGGGAAACTTGAGTAAATAAACAGGACACGCCTAAATACCAAAAATGCGTGGTACGGCAATGATACACACAGTCGACTGTAACAGTAATACAATGTAGGTTCCCTCGGTAAGAGGGAAAAATGAATGACAACACTAAATTCTAAATCACAACAAGCTCTGTGTTGTGCAGGCCTCACTTAGATCCGTACAAACCCAACGTACAGCAACAAATATGGGAAGGTTATATAATCACACAGAAATAAAAAAAACTTTATATCGTAATGTAATACCTTTAAAGTTCTTGTCAGTTTACGCTTCGATGGTGAAGAACTCCACGAATGTTAGCAAGTCAGGCAGCCAACGATCATTGTGTTTACACTCAATCACCCCGGTACCGTGGAGTACGTATTAAATGAATGGCAAGACGGAGCGTGTCACAACACGGGTTCACAATGTCGACGACCAATACCAAAAGGAGTGCCAACCCAAGGAGTGGTCAAAGGGCAATAGCTTTTTTTAACACGTGATCAGGCATTCGGGCGTCCTTTGGACGAGGCAGCTTTCTGCCACACTGTTTCGTCCCAAAATAATAAAACGCAGTTTCTCAAAACTGCGGAGTCTGGTCATTAAAACTTTTCATTTCTTTCTCATTATTAATAGTTTTTCACTTTCTTATGCAAATTCGTCAAATCGTTCAGCATCTTTTATTTAACATCGTGTCAAGGGTTATTGAGCATGCGCATTTCGTACGCGGTAAAAGCTCACATGTTGCAGTTTTCTGTGTTGATCTTGCGTTGTTTTCATCATACGACTCGTTTCGGACGACACAGTGCTACAAATTTTGGTAAGTTTGGGTGGGCTTTATGCAGGTATTGTATAGCAATTCATATGATTATATGTGTTTGTTGAATTGGGTGATTAATTCTGTGTTATACAGTCACTTGTGAGGTTTTGTTGTTTATATGTCAATGTCACCATCTCTGATAATTTTATTAGAATAGAATACATTTATTGATACACAAATGTACTAAGGCTAGTAATATAGATGATACTGTGCATTTCTTTTTTGGTAATTAAAATGGATTAATAAATGTGAAATAGCTTTTACAAATTTTACAATTTTTTTACATAACAGTGCTTTCAGAAAAGCTGTTTACACTTTATAAAAATAAAACATATACAAATTTTAAAACTGGCATTGACAAATCAGAACGATCGCCGTAATGGCTGTCCAGTCTGATTGGCTTTGCAGCACATGATGAAACACTGTGCCAATGCCGTTGTCTCAATTGGATTTTAATAAAACGTTTGGTAAATATATTAGCGTATTTATCCGGGTTAGCGCCCAGGGTCCTGAACATGGAAAATTGGCAAAAAATAAGGGTGGGCCTATGTCCGGACATCCCCTGCAAAAAACGAAAATTGACAACACACAGATCGAACTGCGACAGGAAATAGAATGGCAAATGAAAAAATGCAATGGAAATAAATGAACAAATGCAACATTAGAAGAATAAAAAAAAAATTATTGCTTATAATGTGACAAATAAACCAAAAATAATAAAAATCGACAGTGAGGAATCGTTTGAATTAGGATTTTCCCGCTGACAAACACACCCGATACATGTAAACTCAAAGTGAACTAAAATGGCAGTGGTTAAACTGTGTAATATTACAAGATCAAAAATAATTTACAAGTTTACGCAGTAAAAATTACGAAAGTTCATAGTGGTTTAAAAAAACTTATTAGATCTCTATTTGCACGTTCATTGCCATCTTCGTCAAAGTCAAAACTCTCAAAGTCCAAGTCGGCGCACTCGCCGTTGAACAAAATCCCTACAGCTTTGTCCTAAAATTCGTTGATGTCTTCGCACACAATTTGGACTTTTAATCCATGGATTTTGCTGTCCATCAGCGAGAAAAGAAAAATGAGATTGCTCTTCTGCAATGTTTTTGTTTACAGTCTGTCAATCATCTTTCACCTTTAAGCATCTGTTTTATGATTGGCAAATGACGACATCACTACTAGTGTTTTATCATAAAGGTCAAGTAAACATTGCTTTCTTACCAGACTAGCCGCTCATCAATCAAGGTGAAAGTTATCATTCAGCAAGTTTCGGCGGTTGGATTGTCTCACGATTTTTTCTTCTTCAATGACAAATAAATAATTTTCATGACAGAAATGCAATAGGTGTGATGAAAGATGTTAAAAAGTCTGCAGTTCACCCCTCGTTTTACACAATTGACAATTATTTTTCAAGAATTTTTATCAGAATCACAACAGACTGTAATGACAACAGACTTTTTTATTACAAATTTAGAAAAAGACCCCCTGGGCATATTTTTGACTTCTTGTTAAAAACCACAAGTCCAATTGCTTTGATATTACATATAGGTACTACATGTGGACCACTCTCAAATTTGTTCATTTCATGATGATATCTTCAATTTTCTAATTTTGATGAATATTTTTGTCATTTTTGGTAAAAAGTGATATTTCGACTTCTTGTTAAAAACAACAATCATTTATGGTGAAAAATTATATTTTTAATTTCTTGCTGAAAACAGCAAGTCCCATTGCATTGATACTATGCATATTGTTCATTTTCTAATGATATCTTCTGTTCTTTAATTGAAATGTGCATTGCTAACAGCGGAGCTATCTCAGTCGAGAGGCTGCTTGTTAGGTTATGAAATGAATTATCTTTAAAATTATATATTCAACCAGCCAACACACTGAACTATTCAAACTGTATTGAAAAGCAATAGCTCTTAGTTCAACAGAGAGAACCATTATGTCGAATAATGATATATACTGTCAAAATGTGAAATAATGGAAACTTATTTGTAAAAAGGGTTTCATTCTTACCAAAAACTGTATAACCCACAAAGTCATCATGCTTCGCGGATGGCCATTATGAGTGTTGTCTCACTAATTCAGCTGATTGACATCTTAAACAATATGCATTTCCTGACCGGGGATAAAAGGACTGTGATCAAATTGAGAATAACTCGATAAAAAAACCATATCCTTATGATAACTTATCCCATTATGTCTTTTTCTGTGGTCTAGGTTCTAGAAGTCTTAGTATCTTCAGAATGAGTGAAGACAACCACGCCATCAACCTGAAGAAAGTAAAAGTTTGCAAGAAAATAGGCACACATAATGGAACTTTTCACTGTGATGAAGTATTGGCATGTTTTCTGCTCAAACAACTGCCGGAATATGAACACGCTGGTAAATACAATTAATTATTATTGCTCTAAGTAGGACCTTATAAAGCAATATGATCATTACTCGTCATGTGTGATATGGGTTCCCATGTACGATATCTATAACGACTCTAAAATCAAGGATAAGATAATTCATGTACAAGATGATGGAATGTGCACAATTTTTTAACTAAGTAGTGGATGATTTGAAAGGTTTATCTTGTACATTCTTGATAAAAAGCATTATTTATGCAGTATTTGAATACCTGCTGTTTGATGACTGTGGTACTTTATTCTGCAATGTATATATTTGGTTTTTACTTGCATTTACACATAAAAATGAAAACCAGCTGTAACACACAAATTTAGAACAATATTTATATTTTCTGTGTATATATTTTTATGTGTTCACTGCTGCGTACAATTTTTACTTATACTTGTTGATTGGATAGTATATTTTATAAGTAAACCTCATTATATATATTAAATATAATCTTGTTTTCCTAGAGATTATAAGAACACGGGACTCGTGTAAATTGGACACATGTGACATTGTGGTGGATGTTGGTGGAGTTTTTGATGCCAGTAAGCACAGATATGACCACCATCAGAGGTGAATGAAATTCTCAGTTTTATTTCATGCTGGATTATTTACACGCATAACATAATATTAAAAAAACAAATACAGAGGGAATGAAATTGGTTATGTTACATATTAGACAACACAAATGAGTTATGTATATAGTCACTTTTCTTTTATAACACTATTTGATGTTTCTCGGAATGCCTTGGCCAAATTTATTCAATCGAGGTATTAACATCAAACATGGTAGAAAACTGATCAATTTGATTTGTTATTTGATTCCTATGTGCAGAGTAACAGACTGGCTAATGTAATTTTGATGTCTGCATGGATGTGTGTGTCAAATCTTATTCTACCATCTTAAGAACCACTAGGTTGATTGGAATGAAATTTGGTACACATTTTGGTAATTTGCATATTAATTGCCAGATTTCAGCATGTTCCTTGTGCATCTTTACAACTGTCTTCATAAATGTATATACAACACTTGGCTGTTCCTTGGTCCCATTTAAAATATATACTTCCCCAACATTTAATTATATTTTTCTTTCTTCATCATTTACTGATGTGGGCTATGTCATTGACAATGACTAGAAGGAAGAAATGTGTAGAATCGGATACTTACCTTTTTCTATGGTTCCTACAAAATCTTCAAAACAATCTTCCCAGTAAAATTAATGGAAGGTCCATCAAAATAACCATAAATTGAGAAGAAGAAAAAAACTGACGTGTCGCTTGAAAACAGGATGGGTGAAAAGCTGAATTTAACATAGGGCTCTATGAAAAAGATGCGAGCCCCTCCCCCCAAATGCCCTCTACACTTCAATTTTCTATCCCACAATTCTTTGCAAAATCCAATATGGAATTAACACATTTTTAACCTATATATTTTTGATAACTTTAACAAATTATTATGTTGATCTAATGAAAAATTTGTGGTATTGTCATACCTTGTATGTATTTGAATAACACATTTCTAGTAAGAGAAATGTTGTTTGCTGGTTTTTTTAGCTCCGCTGTCGACTTTGTCGAGCGGAGCTTATCATATGAGTGATTGTCG